CTACGGAACTATAAATCCGGCTTTATGCACGTTTTACTTTCAAAAACAGCATCTCGGGAAATAATTCTCCCTTTTAGACAGCGAAATTTGATGTCCGTCTGGCACACTTTCGAGGTATAGGCTACCTACTGCAAAAAATTCCGGGACTCACGGACGAACAGAACGCAAGCAAGAGCAGATTTTTTTTTAATTCTTAAAAAATGCACTACAAAATTGAAATGGTCCTTTTGAAATAGACGAAATAGTATACCTATCTTACCATTATTTAAACACTTTATTTAAACAATGCTCTTACCATTTACGTTGCTAAACAGAAAACATATGCATTTCCAATACATACTTTGATAACATTAAAAAAGCAAAACAAATGAATAATGTACCGGTGATCTTTTGTCAAGCAAGATCATCCGTACTTTACCCTGACAATCATTTAGGTATTACAATTGAATCGAAAATTGCAATAAGTACGTGACCTACACATAAATGCATGATCTCAGAAATCCCCACTATTATTATTTCAAGCCTTTGCCTAACTAAGCAACTCGTCTCGTCATTCAGTAATATACAATGCGTTCAACTTTAATGTGTACAGTACAACATGTTAATCACACTGTTTGGGTTTTTGGCGTGTGAAAGTGTAGTGCATTTGTATTAGTTGTGAATGGAATGATGACATTGAATAGAAAAGAGCACGTTTTCTCTCACCATTTATTTCGACCTTATCCTTTTTTATTTGTGTCAGCTGCAGTCTGTAAGTCGCCTGTGGGCTGTAAAGTTCAAAAATTGTTTAATATTTTGTTCTGCTTTCCCATGGCATGCTCAGTTAACATCTGTTTTAATATGGAAATACGTACATTCTCCAACGCTTCCTTTCAAGTTCACTGTTTTTTCGTGAATGTGATCATCATCATAATAAAGATAACTTGCATAATGATTATAATAAGCTTGTTATGAATGGTGAATCATATTTAATATTCTAATTGAATATTAGTTGAAATCTGAACTATAATGAGTAGTAGGTAAATGTTATGGTGTCACGCACGTAAATTTTGTATTGCAAATTATGCTAAAACATCGTGCCTTTCCTGGGTTTGTTGTCGTTTATAGTTTTAACATTAACATTCCGTAGTGATGTTTAGCACCTTTTCCATAAATACCTATCTCCCTAAGTTAATGATCTGTTGTGACTGCCTGACTGCATCACAACCACATTGCACTGTGCCTGAAGGCTTGCACCACGGAAGTAATTATGTCTAGATTATTTGGTAAAAAACTGATAACCTTCATGCAGCGAATTTTGCCTCTTACTCAAATTGCACCTACGGCAACCACCTACTAAATTACCTACGAGGTTTTATTTCACCTTGGTTACAATCAATCATAATAAATAAGAAACTTCGACACCAGAAAATTTAGTCTCTGAAATTCGTTGATATGTTCCAGAACGTTTAGTGTAGAATTATAGGTGGATGATTATGTAGGTAGAGTCATAAGTAGCCGTACAGACAGACGAGCAGACATAGTACTGACGGACATAATAGTATTGACGAGGAGTTTTCAGCCAGTAACGGATTAACAGAATTACGTGAGTGGGGGTGGAAGCCTGGCACCGGGTGGTCAGTAAGAGGGAGGTCGTTCCGGAAATTTTCGAAAAAATACCTTAAAAAGTAAAGTTTAGTGGTTTTCGAGGTGGTTTTAGACGGATAATTTATATGTAAACAGATTTTTAAAATTAGAGCGCTTTTTGCGAGGCTTTTTGTGACGTAGGTAAACTCTCGCCAAACTTAGTGTAAAATTTTCAATATATGGTACTCGAGGTGGTACTGGATACCTATCAGTAATGGTTCGAGCGTTTAATGTCCTATAATCCCCACAATGCTTAATGGTTTTATAATGCCTATCAGGCTTGATCACTGCCTATAACACCCTCTAATTCCTGCAATGCTTGGTTACTGCTGATGGGTTGAATATAATATACAGTGTCTTATTTCACTTGAGCCTGCAGTGTATCTCAGTTGTTTTTAAAGATACAGATTTGGCTGTTTTCGCGACCCCGTGCTACTTTTTTGTGGAACTTTTAATGTCACAAACAGAATCAATCTAGCTATGTTTGCTTCTGAGATACAGTGTGAAAACGAAAAGTTTGACTTATAGGACGTTGTCATATCTTACTATTCATGTAATGTAAAAACGGATTATTTTTGATATTTTTACGTAGGTAGAATCCAGTGGCGTAGTAAAAAAAATGTTTGGACAACCGTTTCTGAGATTTGTCCCAAAGTTGGTATTTTTTAAATGCAAAACTCTGTATATCTTAACGTTAATTTTCTGCATTTTTTTCTTGACTCATTGATATATTATAACCTATATTTTTTTTTAATTTTAGCCATGAACCGAAAATAGAAACCTTATTTTTTACGGTTTTTAAATAGTAGACCATGGATTCATGGAAATTTTGTTCTGTCCCGAGTTGTATCCATGGTCACTAAGACCAATCAATAAAAATCACTGACGGTAGAGTGGAAGCTATTTTCCTTTACCTCAATAATAGATGCACCAAGAAGAAATGGTTTAACCTCGGGTTTAACAGGAGATAACAGGATAACTTTGAAATATTAGTGCTATTTAAAGAAGTATTGGTTTGTGATTAAAAATTTCACTGAAGATAATAAGGTAGAAGTTTTTATATTTATTTTACAATTTGGGAAAGAATTGGAATATTTGGAGCCAAATACTGAATCATTTTACAGGTTGAAAAGAATTGGATTTAAGTATTTGTGAATCCAACCACCACTGAGGATTTGAATCTTTTATTGGAGGATTCTTCCCGATTCTGAAGCATATTATTCGAGAAAGTAAATAAATAAATCATGACCATAACATTGAAAATTAAAGTCTCACGATAAGGTGATTCTGACTAGAAGGATCCCAAGGTAAATTTTTCGGGATGTTAAGAGGATGCCAAGAAGATTTCATTTTGAGAGTGCTGAGCATTCTATAGGCTCTAGAAGTTTTAAACATTCTATACAACTTCTAACAAGATTCTCCGAAAACCACTGAAAATCCTAGGAACATTCTAAAAGAGTTGCATAAACTGAAAATTGGATTGCATATACGCAAACAATACGCATACCAATGATAATATAAATAGACACTAGATTTTATACAAATACTAGCAGGCCAGGCTAACTTCGTACCGCCTTTGGGAAATTCCGTTTTTTCCCGTACCCAATTCCCGTATTTCCCCGTTCCCTTGGGAACTTTCCGAAGTCTCTTTTGGAGTACATCTTAACGCCTTAAAAAAAACTTACGTTTTAAATATCAAGTCTCTTTTCGAATTAAATTCTTGTTTTTTCCTGTTTACGTTTCCATTAGAATTTCTGAAAGTTTCTTCTATATCGAAGGATTGGATTTTTGTATAGTCATAGTAGATCTCGCTTTGGCGCCATCTATTTGTAATATTGCGATTTAAAATGACGCAAAAGAGAAATAAACTTCTCGCCAGGAAAGATTGCCGGTCACAGAACACTTGATCCCGGTCTACAATCTATGTTTTTCTAAAGATGTGACCGACTTCCGGGATAGTAGCATGTCAATGTTGAACAAAAAGACTTTTCGTTCAAGATTGGCACGATCCTATTCCGGCAGTCGCTCGCATCTTAAGAAAAACATAGATTGCAGATCAACACAAGGTGTGCTGTGACCGGCAATCTTTCCTGGCGAGAGTTATATTGTTTTTTTGTGTCTATTATCTTCCCTACAAACCTTGTCCGAATAATAACAAACACAACAAAAAATAATTATCTAATTTGGTGCAGTCATTTTGAAGTTATACTTACGCGTACATACATTTTGGCGATTCATTTTTATTTATACAAAAGTGCTTTTTATATTATCAAATTTGAAATCCAACCAATTCCACTTCAGATTTCTATAGCGGATTTTGAAGTAGTACCTACATTATGCTGTGTTGTCAATTTTATGCATTTGCCATAAAATTCTCCTTGTTTAAGGTTTAAAGTATGGCCGCTATAATTAACATTACAGTTAATAGTATTTTAGTACTACGAATGAAATTACTACTTTGATTTTGATGCATCTTGGCAATACAGTATTTATTGTCTGTGGATGGTACCGAATCGCGTCAATAGAGGGACAGTCTTCGCACACGCGCGGAATTTTCATTTGTAAGCTTTGCCCCACAACACTTATTATTAAGCTCCTAGCGAGTTTATAATTTTGTGGTATCTATCCGTCCGTCCGTTAGCACGCTTTCTCAAAAACGAATGGACCCATTGAGACCTATTACGATGAAATTTTGCAGGTGGATTTTTTATCAAATTCGTAGACCGGAGTTCGTGAATTGCCAAAAAATAAGCAAGACCCTTTTGACATCTTCGTTAGTTATTAACCGAATTGCATGAAATTCAAAATGAGCATAGCTTTAGCCATATAATACGTAATGCGAAGCCAAGCTACACCCAGGGGCTCGTTTGCTATATTTGTTTAACTTATTATATAGCTATATTTTTACTCAAAACGTCTGCCGAAATGTCATTCAAGTTGAATACTCCTAGTATCACTATTACCACGTAGTCCACAAGAACGTATACCTAAAAGTTCCTTTGAAATATCTTACGAAATCATAAAGTTGAAAATGTGTGCAGACACAAAAAATGTTTTGATAATATTCTTTCTTTCGCTCACTCTTCGTTTTAACTATAAAAACAAAATTCTACGAAATCTCAAGCCCTCGTGCGGACGAATGGACAATGTTCTCGCACTCTAAAAAAGCGAATAAATGTTTGTATGGTGTTCACGATTGTGTTTAATCTCTAACAAATAAAAAATATTAAGACATTAATTTGCGCAGGCGCAAGCAAAGACAGATTGTAAAAAATCTAGTTCAATCACTCCCGCTAGTGTTACCGGTCTTATCATTGTGGAAATAGTCGATAATCCCCCATTAATGTCTTTACGTAATTGTTATTGTGTATCTTTTTGGTTATTAAAAAAATGTAAAAGGTACAATAAATTATGATCAAGAGTAATAAATTCTCGTAAACGCTAGACTTTTAACGCATGTCAAAACTATTATTTTAAAAAAAATCAGAACCACTTATAGGCACCTGCCTAGATTGCTATTGAAGTACCCTACTGTGGAAATTATATCAGATAACAAAAAGTCAAAGTCCTTATCTTTCAGACTATTTCAGTCCACAAAATTGATGATTGTACTGTATTTAGCTTAGCTGCTATTTCCTCTATGATTTATAACTTAAACAAATGTTGATAAAACAAGTGGCTTACCACACATTAAAAGTAGGAATTTCCTAATGACAATTTCAACAAAGGTATATTTACTTTATTTTAAGGTGGCGCACGTAGTTTTGCATTGAATCTTTTTTTCTCTTGTTACAGAAAGTGATATTTCAGTACCATCTCCTCTGGCTGGATCTGGTCCAGGGGGGCACAAACCCTCATTTAAAAGCACCAAATTGGCTCGACGGGCACGTTCGTTTAAAGACGATTTTTTGGAAAAAATATCACAAATCCGCAGTCCCACGAATCAAGGGATTCGATCGCACAGTCCCAAAAGTAGAATGCATAAGCCGGATACCGTTGACGGTGCGCCATCTTCGAAAGGGCCTGTAAATGAACTGGATGTGCTTGCCAAACAAGTTAGTAACGAGAACATTGGGAGTACTGTAAAACACTTACGGTTTATATTCTAGGTGCAGGTGGCCCTCAAGCACTTTCGGGATGTTGTTTCAAAAAATATATTGGAAATGCTGCCAGGTAACGGAACCATTGTCCTTGATACAGTTTGGGCGATAAATTTGGCTGTGAAGTCGTCTGTGTCATCAGAATTTAGTAATAGTATTGTTTCGGCAACTCATCATATGTATCAAAGTGTTGCGCGTCTCATTAAATTATGTGATGATGTTCTTATCGATGGGGCAGAAAGTTCTGCTTTGAATCAGGATAATGTAACAGAAGTAGTCGCACAAGTAGAGGATGCTGTTAAGGTAACCATTTTTCTCGTCTAACGCGCATTCATCATCATCAAATTTCAGACTTTAATCAAACTGGCAAAGGAAAAAATAATGCACCAACATACTATATCGTACAAAACAACACCAAGAAGTTCGTTCGGAAATGCATCACTGGATATATCTACACAACGAAATTCCTTGCCAGATATACCCCTAACGCCGCGCGAAAGGCAAATACTAGAGCAAACTTCATGTGTTCCTGGAAAAGTGAGAAGTAGTCACAGTTCAGAATCTGTTTTAAGAGATAACAGTCCACCTCCAAAGCCACCTTTGCCTGATAGGTAATTAAAGAACTAATACACTGTGCATCAAAGCAATGGCACTTTATTTAATACCTGTTATATATGAAAAAGAATTATCACAAATAATTAGTTTATTTGTTACTCAGTTGTAAACGTTGATTAACAAGACAAAACGCAAACGGGTAAACGTCATGTTTAAACGCTACTGACTTGTAAAACTGACAGCAGACCTGTAAAAATTTTTACAAGTTAGTAATCTAGTAATTTCATTGGCCAGAAATAATGCGAAGTCTCTGTTACATGGATAACATGATATTTTAGACATTTCTTCAAGATCAATTTAAGAACTAATTATTTACGTTTACAAATGAGTAACAAATAAAATATTGTACGTTATACGCCAGGTAATAGTTTTTACTGGCTCTAGGAGATGACAAGCTCGCCTAACGGCTCGCTAGTCAACTACTCCTATCGCCAGTAAAAACTCACTTACCTGGCTAATAATGTAAAATACTATTCTAAATTTGGAGAAACAATTTCTTAATTACCCAAAAATCTGTTTTTTTTTTCAAATTTTACTCAATGTGCGTTAAGTTTGACTGTTTTATTGAAAATTTATATTCCATAACATGCTGGTTTTGACCTACTAATGTGACATTTACCAAGCACTTTGATTTTAGTATGTATAACATGTGTCGGATGGATGAATCCAATGTACTTCCTCCTCCACTACCACCTAAAAAAAAGGGAAACAATCGTAGTTATCAGCTGATGGATGAATGTTTCAGTTCGGACAATTCCTTATTTGCATCAAGTCTTGAAAGGTAGGCGAAAACAATGTTGTTGTACAACTGTAGTTTTGGATAGGTACCACTATTCGAATTTCTGTCAATTCTACTCAATACAATACTTCTACCTCAATTTCGTCGTGTTACGCTAAAAAGCAATAACGAGAGCACAGGACATGCAAAGGATCTAGAATAAAGATTTTCGGGTTCTAACGTTTCTCAAACTGTTATGAAGTTTTCAATTACTGTTAGGGCCACAGCTTATATTTTCACTAACCTATCGATTGAGTAGTCTGTATTGAGGGAACCTGAAAATTCTTTATACGACGTCCCCGTTTTTGCCTTATCTATGGAACTGTTAATTGCGCAGCCTAAGCACAAGATTTTGTTAACAAAAGAGGCCAAGAGAAAGCGCTGGAAATTATTTTCAGGTTTCTAGGTTTGCCGCTAGAGAGCGTACGATTCATGATTAAGTAAAAAATGATTTCTTCCTAAACTATACCCAACAAACATGCATAAAAATACGTGCATTGCAATCTTGTATTATTTTGATGCAGTATATTTTGGTATAGCCTCATTAAATATGAGGGGTGGGGGAAGGAGAATATCTGTAATACGGCCCCTTCACTGCACTCTCTGAGCGAAGCGCCGTCGGTTTTGGAACGACAACAAGATGAGTTTGATAAAAGGACGACAATTGCAGCGATTGAAATATATGATGGACAACGTAAATGAAGGGAGAAAGAAAAGATTCTGGTCCAAAGCCATGGTATTTGAACAGATAGATAAATCCGGCAATTTGATTTTATTACAAGAATTTAATAACAAACAAACAAACCTACAGGTAGTCTATCCTTTTTCCACTTCAATGTTTAACAGGGCATCCTCTCCTAGCGGCGCGGAGGGTCTCGCGTCAAGTCAGGAATTCAAACAGGTTTGATTCCATCGCTCCACGCCAGGCGCGTATCATTCATGCCGCGAAGAACTACACACACGTCATTCCAAGATTTACCGCACGTTGTTCCAGGAGTGCACGTGAAAGGGCCCTTTCAGGAATTGAATGTAACTTCGGTTTAGGTTAACTCATTTTCACATAATTGGTCTTTAGTCCAGGAAATAGAGACTGAAAGTGGACCATTTCCTGCAAAACGAGAAGTAGCTTATGTAATAAGCGTTGTACTCTATGACTAACTTCACAATCGCCACAAGAGCGTTTAATTATCTATTTCTACCACGCGGGGGGGGGGGGGGAAGGTGAAACTGAACTGAGACAATTTTTTAATTTTAAAAGTATATTAGAAAGCGCTACAATCTCACAGGGATTCAGATATCCCCACTAGCAAGGGTTGAAAGTTGAATTATTATGCATCCCCATTGCTAAGGGTGCAGGGTAGGGGGGTTTATACCACGATAAGTTCAAGATATTTTCTCATAAAACTCTTAATTATAGAAATAAAGTATAAAATTTCGTTAAAACATCTACATAGAAATTTCAGAATTCTTAAAAATATAAGCAACTCTCAAGCTCTATACCGTTTTTAATAAACATTTCACAAAAAAGTAGTGTATATCAAAGTTCTGTAGAATTTTATGGTCTACAATTTCTGATAACAATATTTTTTTCTAAAGTGAACCATTAAAAAGACATGATTGAAAAACTAAGAAACCAACCAAATTTCAGGGGTTTTGGGGGTGGTACGGGGGAAGCACAAGGGGTGGGAGGTCGAAAACTTAGATTCTTAACCACCAGATGACTGTCTATGACATGCAAAAGAAATTGGAACTACTTCTCATTTTGCAAGTTAAAACCCTCTATTCTCTGGACTACTTATTGGAAACAGCTCTCTTGGTGTAATCAGATTTTAAAAGAATAGTCTTTTTAGCAAATGTGGTGAGTGGTAGAGGGCGCGGTTGACATTAAACATAAACTCCAGGTTTTCTTGAACATTTCAAATGAAACGATATATGATTATGAAATTTTCAAATAGGATGAAAAAGTTAAAATATCAGTGAAAACCGCATTAAGATATCTGTTTCCTAAGCTGAGATATGGTGAAAATATGCACATTAACATTTAAATTTCAATATTCATCAAAGTGACTTTAAAACAAAACAAACGCAATGCCACACAAAAAACTGCATACTTGACAGATACTTCCTCATTGTATCGCAAATGATGGCAGATAGTGTGAACTTTTATATCATAATTATAATAATTACAGTTTGTATAATGGATCTTTGATCGGCAACAAAAGCTGATCGGTATGAATATGAAATCATTGACACGCATTAAGTTACTTTAACCTAAAGTCACTAGATATAGAAAGTACCGCAATCATCCGCCATTTTTGGGCAAATTTGCTGCCAACTTAAAAAAATTGACAAAAAAAATCTGAATAGCTGTAATTTTTTATAACCTAACTTCATAGTACTGTCATATTTTATAAAAATATATACAGATATCTCCAAACAGGTGGAACAATCCCTAACATTAAAGTTACTAGAATCTGGTAACTTCCGCCATTTTTGGGCAAAAATTATGCGTTCTCTTATAACCTTGTAAATCGGGTTGTAAGGATATGCCGGTGCTCAAAATAAGCGGGAGCTGGGTCTCGTGGGTTAGGGTTCTCTGGGGTTTAAATTTGGGCGCCAACCTGCCTGATATCTGCTTAGTGATTACCCAATCGGCAGGTAAATCGGGCAAGACAATAAAACATCAATCCTACATGCATGAGATAAGTATACTGCAGTTAATAGAAACGGTAAGTAGGTATTTACAGTAATTATTTGATTAATTATAATTCTTTATAGGTACCTCTAGCGAATGATCATTCACCCTCACATTTAATTGTCTTAACGAAATTGTAAGCGTCACAGTGATAACCTCACACATATATTTAAAAATACTTTTTTCTACTTGCAGGATGGACGGCGATTTATAGTTAAAATTATCATGTCTAACAATACTGTAGGTAAGTGATATGGATTGTGTTGTGGAAAAGTTATGGCTTATCTGTTTTGATGGTTCCAGGTACGCTAAACGGGAATGGCTGACCTCCTCCGATAAGGCAGGCACTGCAAGGCCTTTATGCGAAATTGATATTGCGATACATCTTGCAATTACTCTCCTTAATTAGGCTTTTTTTTGAAATGCTGACGGTAGCTCGCGGGATGAAACCCCTGGACTGTATGCGGTAGATAAAAAGACCAATTGTTAGAGCCCTATATTTAAGAAAATTAATATTATGTTTACTTCTTTGGGAATACATACTTTTAGTTTTTGGGCGGCTCTACTAGATAACTTAGGACTCTCCTAATACGATTATTGTTTACAGGTACATATATTTACTTTGACGAATTGATCTTTCAGGCTACAAGAAATAAATTAAATATTAGAAGATTACCTACTACTTACTTACGATTACAATATCTACGCCATACAGAATTTGGGTATTAATTTTAAAACGTAATAATTTCGTTTCGATGTTAGCGTTTACTTCATTCGCTCTGACCCGCATACCCATTTTACCTCTCCGCGCGCGTTTCCCCTACCTTTATATTTAAATATCCCCAAACTAATAATGCCGCGAATTTTTGATTGTTACACTCTCTCTAACAGACAAGCCCAATGGATTGCGGTACTTTCTATATTTAGTGACTTTAATTTAACCATGAATCGTACGCCCTCTAGGGGCTTACCTAGAAACTTGAAAATAATTTTCAGCGGTTTCTCTTGGTATCTTTTGTTAACAAAATCGTTTTCTCCACGCTGTGCAATTAACGGTTCCATAGATATGCGCTATGACCTTTATTACTTGGACACCCTGTACATGCTCTCCCTCCTACATTGCCTCGCAGTTTGGCTACATTTTAAATTTTTCATCCATTCAGATTTTCGGAATTGGGTCTTATGCGTCCGACCTCATAACTATATGTTTTTCACTCAAGGTTCTTACCAATTTCGTAGGAAAAGTAGTAGGCATTGGGGCACTTTAGCGTGGGAAAATTCTGCCAAATGCGTTGCCAAGTGCAATAGCAGATTTTGGCAATTGGTTCTGGGTGCAATATCAAGTTTCGGCAGTTGACTTGGAGTGCCTGTCATGTCATATTTCGGTAGGACAAATTATGAACCCGATTTGGAAGTTGGCCCAGGATTATTAACAGATTGGTGTCAGGTGAACAGACTTGTTTCTGATAAATTTGCCAACGGCTGACATATGGCCCCCAGGTCAGCTGCCGAAATTTTACATTGCACCCGAACCATTTGCCAAAATTTAACCTTGCAATCCAGTCCATTTGCTCAAATTGGACCTCTGGCATCTTGGGCCAACTACCGAAATATGACACCCCGGGCCAACCATTGAAAATATAGCACCCTGTGGTCAATTACCGGCCGAAATGTAATTGCGCACCTTGGTCCAACTACTAAAATGAAGGTGTGCCATTCAGAATTTTGCCACAGTTAAGTGCCGGAATATCTACTGGAAATATGACCCCGCACACTGGGTCAACTGTCGAAATATGGCACTCTGGATCAATTGCCAAAATTTGACCATGCATCCCGGGGCAAACTTTTAATACAGTTCTGTACCAGTAAATTGTTCTATAAAGATGTATTTATTCAAGTAATGAGAACTTTGTTTACCCTAAATAATAAGTATTGCATTGTTTATTAACATTGTGAGGTTAACAATTTGAATTTTCTGATTGGTTACCATCACTGCAACTGTACATGGAATAATAACATATAAATTGCACGTCGACAAGAGAGATACAGCACAAAAGTACGTAGAGTCTTGAATCAGAACATGTTGGTGACATAGTGTAACTACATCACTCCATCCATGTTACTATGTATGATGTAAGGGTCCAATTGCCGATATATTTGACCTTGTACCTCAGACGAATTGTCAAAATTTGACCTTGCACTCCGCAGAAATATTTTCTCACTATAGAAGAATCAAACTAAAGATCTGTAATCGATAACATGTGCAGTTTTTCTGGTACGTTAACTTTGCCTCTTCTGTTACGAGGAGCTGTTATTTTGGCGCTAGGTACATCCCTAAACCGATTCAAAAATCTTTAAAATGTGTTTTGTTTGTCCTTGCTAGTATGTCTCAGGCTCAGGGACGGGACCTTTCTGCATTCTTCATGAACACCTCTCTCATGTTTGCCATACCAAAGAAGGCTGTTGTACATTTTGTTATACTTGTGTGTCCTTTTACATGCACACTTTCAGTGCACAAGGTTTTTGAGATATGACATCATATTAATGGAGGCCGGAGGCGCCACTAATACGGAACTGACTATTACGTAAATTCAAAATAGATATTAGTTGAAAACAAAATTCAAGTTATTAAAGTTGTGGACTGTTGACAGAAAAAAATATACAATTTTTGTGTGATTCATTTTTGACGCCCTCTCTTTTTAGAATCTCACTTAGGTCAAGATCTCCAGAAGATTCAAGTTCTTTACTCTCCGCTAGTGCAGGTAGTTTAGATTCCATGCTTAATCAATCAAGGGAGGAAGAAGAAATTCGAGCTTTAATGGACCACCATACTGATGCAGATGCATTAGTTTTGGACAATGACATATCGGGTATCGCCGGTGCTAACGGTATAGATAATTATTGGGACGATTCGTTATTATCTAACGTCCAAGACTCATCCATATCGCTGTTAAATCAGTCCAACGAATTGAATATCACAAATAAGGAAATGAATCGATTATCAAACGCAGATTCGGGGTTCGTGTCGATGGTCTCTCAAAGAAGTTCGGGTTATTCAAAACGTAGTTCACAACAGAGCACGGTTAGTTCGCAATGGAGCAGCCAGCAAGGATTTGCCAAGCATTCGGTTACGGAGATAACAAAGTCTGAAAATGTCATTCAGAAAACTTTCACATCCCAAAGTAGAACTGAAGTTAATTTTAAACATAATACAAGTAGCAGTAGTACCGTTTCTAATTTTCATAGTAATGGCCAGTCATTTACACGGGATGAAGTTTTTGAAGAAGCTCCACCTGCGATTCCTCAAAAGACAAGGCGAAAACCGGAGCGCCAACCTTCGCCATACGATAATGTACCTGATGATAGTTTGAGTATGTTTATCTAATTGTTTTCGATTTAACGTCAATTTAATTATTTAGGTGGTGAGTTATTAGTGGCCTGTCAGTTACATCAATCGCAAAATACACCAAGTTCTGATGTTAACGTGGTACAAGATGGGAAACCTCCACCTTTACCTCTTAAAAAGAAACATAGTAAGTATCACAAATACGATTTGTTGTGTATTTATTTTCTTTTGGTGGTTGAATGTCATTTGGTGCAACTTGCAATGTTTACGTACGGTGTAAAACAAGGAAATGCGCCAAAAGGGAAAAAGCAATGGGTGATGGAGATTGAGAGAAACTAGAAACATTTCCAATGACATGCATTGCAATTCCTTTAGGTGTCTAGAGTTGACAATTTTGGGGTTGATTGTTTACTATTTTATTTTGCAGCCATTCAACACACAATTTGCAAATGATGATACTGAACAAAGTTGTCGACATTTATAAATGTGGTCAAAAATATGCTTCCAATTTTTTTCTGTTGCATAAATGACATTTTTAAAATGAATATAGGTAGTACAATGTGTTAATTTAAAATTTTTTCATAGTGTTCCAATCAGTGGCTTACTCTGGTAAGTAGGCCGATGTGGAAAGTTGTCATAGTCTAGTACTCTACTTTGACTATGACAAAAAATTTAAATGTTTGTTATTCTCTGTTTATTATGCACGTACCGCGTATACCATATACAGTGTGTCATCTTTTTAGAGCCTTAATTAATAATAATACGTTTTTCATAACTACACATGCTATAGTTATCACATTTAGATATTCTTTCTGAAGAGCAGATATGGTTATGCGTTATATTAACTCCGTTTTGAAATTGTAATTGCATTAATATAAGTAAATTTTTGCAAAAGTGTTCAAGTAGTCACTGTTAAAATACCCAAAAACCACATCTTTGGATTAAGCTGCACCATTTAGGGCAAGGCAATCTAGGTATAAGTAAATTAAAAAATTACTATAGAAATAGCTATAGAACAAATAAAACGACAATAAACAAAATATATAAATGTAAAAATAGAATTGATCAGTACTTTCCAAAACGTCATATAATTTCTATTTATGTGTACAGAGGAAAATAATTGAAAACATAAAGATTCTCTTAAATAAGAACCTTAGCATTGCGCATGCGCACACCTGATGTTTAAAATATGCGATAAGTTGGCATCTACTAGAAGAATCTTTGATTAAAATTTCAAAAAAATATATAATAAATAAGAAGAAAGTTCACATTGCGCAGTTTGTGCATGCGCACATCAGATTTTTACAATATACGATACGCTTGTCTTTACTAGAAGAATGTGTGGTTAATAACAGCGCCTTCCAACATGAGGAAAATGCTCTAAAAACTTCAGTTCCATATTTCATCCATTTAAAAAAATAAATTGTTATCCATATTATTTGTCCTATCGAAGTTGGAAATTTGCATATTGAAATATTTCATTTTTCATATCGGCGCTTTTCACTTTTTTTTTAATTATGTACTTTTTATCGGATCCGGTATTTTAATTTCTGAACATTAAATGCAAGACCAAATCGCTATCCTCAATAATAACACAGGTCGATCTGGGAGCACCCTGCGTATTATATTGTCAAATGCGGCCTTCACGTCAGTGGCGTAGGCAAACCTATGCGAACTAATATTTCTACAAATGTGAACCCACTATAAAATGGGGTGGTGTTGGTAGGCCTGTGAAGCGTCCTGATTTAGACGGGAAATATATTGTTTCACGCATCACGCTTGGCCCTTGGGTGAGACACAAAAATCCCGATTTCAAATTAGGGAAAAGTTGCGCAATGAAATCCTGAAAATTCCCATTACTTCCGAAGATATGCCAGAAAAACTGAAATTTGTGGATTTGTTTAAAATTTCTTTCTGATGTTATTTGAACAGATACAAAAAAGTAAGGAACACTTTCTCATTGTCACTTTTAGAGCTCTACAAAACAGCGTGGATAGATTTTTAATACAACTGTTCGTTTAGGAGAAATCATTATCAAGTTTATTTTTTATATGTTCCCTAAAAAAAAACTATGTACTGTATTGAGTAGCATTTTTTATTCCAAATGTTTGGTACAAAAAAAAGTCGAAAACTGTTGTTTCAACAACATGGTGCATCTGCTCACAATGCCATAATCGTGGGAGAATACATATCGGATAAATTTTTCCATTTTCCAAGACATTTAATAGATATTCTCACGCTATTAGGGCGTTGTGCGCGGATGCACCGTCCTGTTGAAACTAACATTTGTCTTTTGTTCCTTACATCGTTGTGTTCATAATAAAAAATGCTACCCAATGCAGTATGTGCTCGTTGTATCTTCCATGGTTTCCAAGATCCCCATGATAGACACATATATAATCACCTAATGGTATGAAAATACTTACGAACTATTTTCATGCCTATCACATATGCAAACAAAATTTCATAAAAATCCGTCAAGCCGTTTCGGAGGAGTGCGACCACAAACACCGTGACACAGGGTTTTATATACACGGTGCAACTTTTTCGAGTGCCACTATGGGGATCTCGCTTAACTTAAGAAATAACAATTTGGTTAAATGGGGGCAAAGTTGCGAATTTCCGTGATGAATAACCATCTGAAAAGAAATTTAAAATAGCATCAATAGTTCTGAAAATATCGCAATAAAACGAAACTTTCTGATTTTCGTTTTTAATTTTTTCATGATAAACTAGTCCTACTAGACATTTCTAATTAACACATTATTCGAACACTTTTCAATGGAGATTTCGAATGTGGCATCTCGTTTTTAATAACTTTTAAGAACACAGAGAAACACGTGGCAACTTTAGTTTTTCTTATGGGCGTCATTTTTAAATTTAACATTTTGAGATTACGTCTTTTTTTCTCTTTACAACAATATATCACACATGGTGGTTCAGTATCACATTTTTCCTTAAAATACAAATTTTAATTTTTTGGGAAGAGAGTGCTTTGGAATAACAAAACGTTCTTTTATTGTCAACAAAAGTTTTGACAGTTTGATCCATCTTTCTAGTTGCAGCGTTGGCAGGGAACTAGTTGTGTTGAGAAAATTCGATTTTCATCTGAACACAATTGAACCTTCGTTTTGCAAGAAAATTATAATTCAAATTAGAATAAAATACATAAGAATAAATAATATTTTAGCAATAAAACTAGCACAAACGTAAATGATGCTGCTTGAAATAAGTCAACATTTTGTTCACAACAAAAGAACGTTTTGTTTTTGCAAAGCACTCTTCGCAGAACATGAAAATTGCATTTTTAGAAAAAATGTGACACTGAACCACCATGTGTGATATATCGTTGTAGAGAGAAAAAAAGACATAATTTCAAAATGCCAAAATTCAAAACGGCGCCCATAACAAAAAATAAAGTTGCCACGTGTTTCTCCGTTATCTTGAAAGTTATTAAAAACGGGATGCCATATTCAAAATCCCCATTAAAAAGTGTCTGAATAATGTGTTAAACAGAAATGTCTAGTCCAATTAGTTTACCATGAAAAAGTTAAAAATGAAATTCGAAATTTTCTTTTTTTTTTGCGATATTTTCAAAACTATTAAAGATATTATAAATTTCCTTTTAGATTATTATTCAGCACGAAAATTCGCAACTTTGCCCTCATTTAACCAAATTGTTATCTCTTAAGATAAGCGAGATCCCCATAGTGGCACTCGAAAAATGGACACTGTGTATTAGATGAAATACTTTTTTTGGCGCCATTGCTAGTTCTTGCTGTGGCATTCCTGGCTACTTTTTTCTTACTCATTCTAGTGGACAGTGGTTAATCGAAATGTTGGATTTTTTATTAGCTTAAATTTATCTTAGGTTGTTCCCAGCACGTGTTTCATCAACGGCGCATCTTCGGGCGGTAGGTCAGCTATAATTCGTTCCAGGTTGTGAGATAAATACTCCCCACACTTTCGTGAATTTCGCCTGTGTGTCTGGTTGTCTGAGGGTGAGAGCTTAGCACTTCTAGGAAGGTGCATTTTTTTATGTAATAGATGTGAAAGTTTTAAAAGAGGAAAAAATGTGAGAACAAAAATTGTGGGTCTGCAAGTCTAAAAAATATATTCCATTTTTAAGTATTGGGGTAAAGTCAATCGAGAACTACAGAACAAGTATTTGTATAGGGTGAAAACTATTGCTGTTCACTGGTTTATGTAAACAAACAGCCAATGAACCACTAGCCAGATATTTGAAAGTAACATAACTGCAAAATGTTGGTATGTGCCTCCGCCACCCGAAACGCCATGTCCAAGGAAAGATGGTCTAAGCTCCAAGAATCGGACTACCCAAATAAATAGTCATGTAAATTGACTGGTTTGAATGTATTGTTAAAAATAATATCTTTCCGACCAGTTTTATTTACATTTTACATTATATAAAATCCACAAGAACAAGAGTGTTAGTTATTACAGGAATTTCATATTCAATCTGGCACCTTAATCCATTTAAGGTACCAGATTGTTTGAAAATAGAAATAGCAGTTTAAATAAGGATAGGTTTAAAATATTGAAAGAATATACAATTGCAACAACTAGGTCCAGGAGCGGACTGAGTACTTACGGGCCAGGTGGAATTGCATAGGTTACGTCCCATTAAAGTATTAGTATAATGAAGATGGGGGGGGGGGGGCTGCGATGCACTACAAACACATTTTTTGCTTCATTTTAAAGTATTCACTTCTCGAAAATCAATTATAATATATGTAGTTTTTTTTAATTGCAGCTGATAATTAAAAGTAACAAAATATACATAATCCAAACGAGGCGCGTTGCCTATAACTGTGTTTCAGCACTTTCAAAATACGACAAACAATGATAAATTCATTGCAAAACACTTAAGTACATAAAACCAGAATTTTATAAATGATCAACCTAACTTCAACCTCTATGAGAGAAACGTGTTAATAATTTATTAATAGTGCAAGAAACTTACATTAATGCTGTCTAATAAAGCACATACTTATAAATTTCCAACGCGCCATTATGACCTACAGGCCAGGTGGTAATCGCCACCCGCCCCCCGGGCCAGTCCGCCCCTGATTAGGTCTGCGTGCTTCATGGCCAATACAATGTAATAAATGGTGACCAAGATATCTACTTTGCGAATTACGGTGAAATGTGTGAATGGGCACTTAAATCTGCAGATCTTGTAACATGGGCTTCAGCAAATTTATTAAACTGTTTATTAACCGAATGTAGTAAACGCAAATCAAAACTTGATTGATTGTTGTGTCCAGCCCTGGTGACTAGTGCTGAGCCATATTCTGGTAGTAAAATTCATGAGTTTCGCATTTGAAAATAATTTCTGGAGATGCACTGTATATGCAAACATTGTTCCACTGTTTATTGTGTGTTCTTCACAGGTAAACCTGAAAATAACTTCAGTCAATTACATCAGATAAGATGTTTTTTTTTGTAGAACTAGTTACAGTTGCAAAGTATATGCTAATTGCTAAGTTATGACCCGAATGTTTTCTGTTGCATTGGTTTAACTGATTTCCTATATCCTCTGAGGGTTTTAAATCTTGATGTATCTTACCATGATGTGATGGTGGAGACTTCAACTACTCTGTATTCCAAATGCTTTATCGTGAAACAATTACATGTGAAAATAGCAAACTTTGTTTATTGGTAAACATCTGATTGCAGTCCGTAAAATGGAACCATTATTACTTTCTATATTGAGTTACAAATTTAGCATATTTCGATTTACCTGTACACTGTCCTATTAAATCGGTTCTGCCCTACAAAGTGAATATTTAAAGATGATTCATTTTACTGACATTTCTGTTGCCTTTTAGTAATGGCCTATATGGAGATGTTTGGAAATTGCTCACATGCAAACGATCAAGAATTTATGCGCCATTCAATACATATGGTTCAAGGTCAGTGGGTGCAACCACAAAGCCCCGGAATGCCTACGACTCAATCTTGTACATTTAGTCATAGTTCGCAGACATCTAGCCGATTCACAACACATTCGCAAGTTCAAACCTTAACTCTACAATCGATCGGAGACAACACAATGTAAGTGGTTATACAGGTTGTCCACACCCTTTACAAAGAAGGCATGTCTCTCTTAGAACAACACCATCACCTTTAAAATCGCCCAATTCATCAGTAATGTCATCGACAAGTAATGGTATGCCTCCAGCATTGCCCCCAAAACGCACAAGAGCCCGTACGAAATCGAACATATCAGAGCCGCCTATGTCTCCAACTCTTCCCGAAAGAAAATCTTCCCCAGTGAAGTCATTGCCTGATCTTTTGGAACATACAACCTCGGCCTTAAAAGCAGACGAAAAGCAAACGGAAAAGGCGGAAAATGACGAGTACAAAAGCGCGCGTGATTTAGATCTTATAGAAGAATTAGACGTTAGCAAGCAGTTAGTTATTAAGAAATCGGACGAAGATGGACCAGAAATACGCGGTGGACAAGTGGACGCGCTAATTATTATGGCAACTAAGGCAACAAAGAACGGAGGTAAATATACAGATTGTCTTTATAAATGTTTAATCTTTCTCTTTTGTGCGCTATCAGAGGAAAAAGAAAATGGTAGCTCTTTAAACTTAGTGTTTCACGAATAATGTTTTAATTTTTAGTGTTTACATATCAAGAGGCTTTTCTCACCACGTATCGTACTTTTATATCACCATACGAATTAATTAACAAACTTATCCGGCGATATAATCACTTTTACTGTATACCAGACCGTAAGCCACGATCTCGGGAGGCTTTTGCTTTGATAGTTAGAGTTGTTAGCGACTTAACGTAAGGCATTTTTAAATTCAGTGCAAAAATCAATTTTGTAAATTTACAGTCCATCGGATTTGGGGAGCAACTTGCAGCAAGTTCTAATGGATTTTGTGCAGCAGTTAATCTCGTGTGGCGAATTAACTTTGGCAAAAGCTTTACGAGTGAAACACCTTGAAAAACACGAAGCAAAAAAACGTAGCATTGCGCTTACGAATTATCAGAGCAGCTTGACTTTATGCTCGCGAATATCCACGCTCCTCGACTTCAAGTCTGAGCAAATTGCCGAGCAAATGACACTTTTGGACGCCGACCTCTTTATGAAGATAGAAATTCCAGAGGTGCTCATTTGGGCGCAGGAGCAGAATGAGGAGCGTAGTCCAAATCTGACACGATTTACTGAGCATTTTAATAAGATGTCATATTGGTACTGGTGGCATTGCTTTTGAAATCATTGCGTTATGTAGTCATCTTTGTAGGGCCAGAACAAGAATATTGAGTGTAGATGCCAAAGATAGAGAGAAGTATTTTATGAAGTATATCAAGATTATGAAACACCTGCGAAAAATCAATAATTTCAATTCGTATCTTGCATTACTATCCGCCCTTGATTCCGCACCAATTCGAAGGTTGGAATGGCAGAAGCATGTTCAGGAAGGTTTAAAAGAGTATTGCGCTCTTATTGATAGTTCGTCCAGTTTTCGAGCGTATCGACAAGCACTAGCCGAAACTCAGCCGCCCTGTATTCCATACATGTAAGTACTTTGTAGCTTATCACGTAGCAGTAGCTCGACAGCAGTACAAATGGTCTTGGGCATGGATATTTGTAAATGTATAGTGGATTGGGTTGGTCTACCAACCTTGGCTTAAAACTCTGCTCACTTAAAAATAGACTAAAAATAAAATAAAACAATAAATAGCAGTTATAATTGTTGGTCCATTGAACAAGGTATATTAAGACTGAAAGCTTTCATACTTCTATATGAGTTATGTTTTATTCAACATATATGATAAGGACCTACACAGCAAAGAATAAGTGTCCTATTTAGCTATTGTTTGTTTAAATACATTCGGTAAATGGCACATTTAAATCGTATGTCCGTTTTTAACAAGAATGAGGTTATGTTTGTTACATTAACAGTGTTCGCCCATTACGTTCTTCACTGTGATGATCAGATAGCAAATGCTTTCATACATTTCTACATACTGAAGATCATAGTGAGTGGATGAATATAGTACAAAATAAAATTTAGGTTGTGGTTGTACCCGAGGTTGTACCTATGAAAAATCTACTGGAAATGTTTATTCATTTTGAGTCAACAGTCAGTACTGATCTTGGCTTATGTAAGAATATATTTTCAGAGGTCTTGTACTTCAAGATCTAACATTCGTACATATTGGTAACAGTAATTTATTGCAAGATGGATCAATTAACTTTTCTAAACGTTGGCAACAATTCAACATAGTAGAAAATATGAAGAGGTTTAAAAAATGGTAAGAAATATTATATTGTACTTTTCATAGTCCGATTTATTCTTTCAGTACATACTCATTTAAGAAAAATGATCGTATTATAAACTTCTTTCAAAATTTTGACGACTTCATCGGTGAAGATGCAATGTGGCAACTTTCTGAATCGATTAAACCCCGAGGCGGTAAGAAAACAACTTAATAAGGTTTTGATTAGGAAAGTTTATTACGTCGAATAGTACAATTTTTGATATGTAACAACAATTTTATTGTACAACATTTTGATAGGCTTTATTAGTACTAATTCTAATTAATTGTTATATTTGTGTTTAAAAACTATAAAAAAACTGCGAGACAGCTTTAAATTTATCGCACCTTTTATCATGTTTTTAATACGGCTTATTGTTCATATAACAATTGCGCAATGAATTGTAGAGCAACGAACTCTTTTTATTACCTTTTTAGAAATCTTATTGAATGTTTTTCGAGTCTCACGTGTTGCTCTTATTTACGCAATTCTTATGTATGTGTATTCTACGTTAATATTAAATAGAACATATCTACTATATGAATGGTTAGACACTAAACAAATATTTGTACATAAACTAGTCCTAATTTATGTAGCTATCGAAGCGTTCTGAACATTTTCAAAATGTACGAATCCGACCATCAGTAATGGAACACTTTGATAGCTGATGCTGTGATTATCAAATTTTGCTAAATATAAGCAAATGCATTCTATTATGACTGATTCTATTGTTGCAAAAGCACATAATATTTAGGAAATTTCTTCAGTTTAGCACATCTTCTGTAGCGTAAACCAAACCAAACAATCGGTTTTTTTACTTGAGGATTATGTTTTCTTCATATGATCTACATTTATCCAGTCGGGTGAGTTCTTATGTAAATATTACCTACACAAACACCAACAGCGTCCTCTCGTATTGTAATCTAAAAATTACTTCCTATAATAATTTCATAGTACTGTTACTACTTTTTCAGATCTCTATAAGTGGTGCCTCGTGAGTTCTAAAAAAGGTGGGCACAAGTAAAATCTTGCCCATTATTCGTGTACATAACATTATTTTTGTTCATTTTTCAACCCGGAAAAGACGTTAATGACTTTGTTGTTAGCATTCAGAATAGACTGGACAAATCTCTTTTCTATTGATAGGACTGCAGCCAGGGCTGGATTTACATATTTTGCGCTTATGGGCCCCATGAAATCACCCCACCCCTCCCCCCTCCAACCAATTGTAAGCATCTTATACCCCAACCAAAATTATTTTGTACTCTTTACAGAAAAGTGTTATAATACGATTTCCTTTCTCCTAATTTGCTGAGATTGATTTAATTAGTAGGTAGTGTACCTATGTAAATAACCACCAATTTCAAATAACATATTTCAAGTTTATTTTACAGTTTATTTTTACAGTTTATAAATGAAATCCAATATATAAACATGTAAATGTAACCGCTGAATAGTGCTTCAGAGAGTTCAAGACTCTTAACGGTTACGTGACGTTATTAACCCCCCCCCCCCCCCAACGTACGATTATGAAATTGTAAAAATGGGTACAGGGCACCTTAATTAAGCGTTTTCAATAAAAAATTGGCGGGAGGAGCCCTAAATTTTAAATCTTAATACAAAGTTCACATAATTTCCTGGATGTGTGAGGTTATGTTACTTCATTTCATGATTACTTTTAAGTTGGTAAGAGTGCGCGTAACATTCCAACTTCAATGCCTTAAGAGGCTATATTTTACCAGATAGTACTTTAGAATTATTTTCCAAATTTGGTTTTTTGCCGCCCTTAAAAATTTTCCGCTATGGGCCCGCATGGCGCCATGCTAAATCCTGCCCTGACTGCAGCCAATGTGTTGAATGTTTTGTCTAAACGTTTTTTGAAAGAATCCTAGTGTTCAAATAATGTGTTCATAGTGTGTAGGAGTATAGCATGTGGTAATCTATGTTTGACTATTTCATAAACGAATTGTTGTTGTTCGTTTGGGTACTCGAGAAAAAAAAATTGAAAATGACTGCAATTGGGCAAGAAAATTTAATTAAACTGTCCTAATTGTGCACAATCAAATTTCAAATATTGCTTTTTGCAATCGTACGTAGCTTTTTAAAAAAGCCTAAACAGCTGTCGGAGGTACTTAGAGTAAGAAATAAAGACAACGAACGCATACGCTATATTAACACGAACGTTTGTTTTGATCCAACATAACCCACAGCTTGACAGTTGAGAGGACGAAAGGTAAACATTAGCAACTGCACTAATTCCACAAACAGTGCACCATTTCCCCATGTCAAAGAAGATAAATTATTAAACCCAATCGAATAAGTTTTAAACTATAAAATGAGCTGAAAATGCAGATATTACATTTTGTAGAAATAAACAGAAATCCTCTCAACTGTCAAATCGCTACAGCGTTGCCGTCGTTGCACACTAATTATCCTAAATTTTCTTATTAAGCTGTGTAACTTCAACTTATAATCGTTTGTTTTTTACAGCTCTTATAAATATTTAAAAATCCATTTAGATCCTTTCAAATATATGTGATATTCTCTTAAAAATCGTCTCGCGAAATGTGAAGTTCGCTTCCTTCAATGTTTACAAACACGACGAGATTATGGGACGTTGTGATAAACATCACGGCATTTCTATTTTTATTTCTTACTCTGAGACCTAATCACATTACTTTTCAGAAATGGAAGCTGTTAAACAGTTTTAAAATGTGGTCAGTGCTATTGTGCAAGGGATCTCCTATCCAGTTTGAGAAAGTAGGTACATGTTAACACACAAAGCTTCTAGGGACTGTAAATGTAACCCAGTGTGCTTGCACAACTAATGATAAACCAATTTGAGACATCTTTATTCACACACAAAACTTCCAAGCTCAGTCGAAGTGCCATCAGTGCAATTAAGCGACTTGTAAAGCTCATCACATAATGAAAAAAATAAGGAATAAGAAATATGAAATATAGAATAAGAAATAGTGACGCCGTACACGCAAAACACAACAAAGAAATAGCAACAGACTATAAGCCAACCAGAACACTCGTGCCGCTTGAATTTATATCATTATAATGGCAGCTACATGTCAGGCAATAGCAGGCTAAGTGCACCGACATCAAATATAATTAAATTCACAAAAACAACACCTCACTTGTTTTATTTTAACAAGATAAAATAATAAATATAGAATACGCGTGCGCGCCTCTTCTAATGTCATTGGTTCGCAATATCACAGATTAAATACAAGCAATATGAATAAGGAATAAAAATTCGATTGAAAGAAATTATTATTTCTTATTTCCTAAGGCGCTTTCTTTCGGTGATCCAAACGCGTTTGGATTGTCAAATCACGTTCTTTCGAAGTGTGATCTTATAATCATGATTGCTAAAATCGTGAACAAACTGAACATAAAAATTTTATGATCACGAATTCCTAACCTATAAATGCAAGGATATTTTTGCTCAAATGTTAGGTTAGTCCATATTTGTAACTGAAGAGGAGCATAATCGCGCAAGTACTTCCACTTGAATTTAAATTATTTTCATAATCCAAACAAAAAGTACGTAATTCGAATGCAAATGTGTACTACGTACACTTAACCATAGTTTGATTTAAATTCGCGCGTTCTTTCGTAAAACGTGATCCTACGAATCACGATTTTGAAATCATGATTGCGAAGTAGCCGAAAGAAAGCGCCTCTAGGCTTATTTCATATGTCAGTGTTGTGTGTAAAATCCATAAAGATCAGTAGATTGAAAATTGTTATTCCTTATTTGTTATTTCATATTTCTTATTCCTTATTTTTTTCATTGTGTGTTGGGCTTAATAGTACTCATTTAACCTTCGCAATACGAAAATATGAAAAAAACATAGATTTCCAAAACTGAGTCATATAGGATCATAATCCTATGATTATTTTAAAATTATTATTTATTTTTTATGAAACGATTTATTATAAATGGTTAAAAGAATTCTGAAAGGGAAATGAAATATAAAGCAAAAATTTGCAAAATATGAATAAAAACAACAATGTTGGGTCAATTATGATCCCGCTTTGGTATGGCGAGGGTTAAAGCAAAGCACACAAGAGGTCCAAAGTTACACGATTGTGTTACCAACTAAAGATATTATTATATTACCAACTTATGAAATGAAAATGGTTTTTCATTTAGGTGTGAATAAGGTCTGCCAATGGAATGTGAACTGAATGTATCTCAAAAATGATTTTTTAGATATTTTGTTCGATGTTTATTCGTGATTCTAAATAACAGTGAGACCTCTCATGATAGTATAGTGCAATAATACAGTTGGGAGAAGACGCCATTTGATAGCGTTTTTTTTTATTTACATTGCATCTACGCAACCACAAATAAGTTGTCTTTACAAAGTCATCTTAGTAGATTTCATTTAAGACGACATCCTTCCAAACACTTGAATTGTGACCAGTGCACTTATGCAATCAACAATAAGGATAATTCAAGGAATCATCGTCGAACCTAACCCTGAACCTAACACAGAACATTTCTAATGTCTTTCACTGTGAACAGTGCAATAGGCAGGTTTGACATTTTTTACTTTTACTGAAATCGGGGAAATTTTGTTATTAAAAATCGATCAAGAACAATTTGAGGGCAAAATATTGATATTTACGTCCGTTGTAAGCATTTGAAAACCAACGGTCAGCGCGAAGAGAAAAAAACTTACTAGACCGCGTGACGTCAGTAGCCAACACATTTGCCGCCCCGCTGGCAGATTATATGATTTTCGTAAACTAGAGCCGATGTGTTAATTTTATTTGCTGTGTGTACAATGCTGCCAGGGTATAAAAAAAGTTGAATGGTGAAATTTACCCAATGTTAATGTGGAAATGGACTTTTTGGCTAATGCAAATTTAAATGAACCTCAGAACAGTTCAGTAGTAGAATTACACAACTCTTACATCATTTCCACACTCACTTTGGTAACTAAATTTTTTGCCCTAACATTTTTTTTTATCGTATTTTAATAAAAAATCTCTGAATTTTAGTTAGAATAAAAGAAATACAAAAAATGTCGAACCACTCAACGAAAAATAGGAGGTATATATGTAATTCTTTGAGGCTCCGCTTTGAATAACTTCAGCTGCTATCAGTATAATTACGCTACAATTAATAGCGTTCGCTGAAAGCGTCATGTACCTTCTCAAACATTTGTGATCATTATGATTACACTACTATAGATAAGCGGCATATCATAAAACATGCTACATTCAACGATGTTATGTGCAGTCTGTGTGATAATGCCACAAATAGTACAAAAAATTTGATTTGTCATTTATTAAAGCATGGCCCATCGAAAAATACATATTGTTTTAATTGTGGTTAGTGTAATTATGCCACAAATAGTAAGGCTGTTTTAGGGGAATGTCGATGAGTGTTCAAGGCAGCCTTGATTTCGTAAAAAAGGCCTTTCAGGTAGGATACGATTAAGGGGTTATATTTTCAAGTCTAAAAAAACGGCATGACAAACTCAATTCACTTTAAAATTAATACCTCACCTAAAAACTACAACTTGCCATTTGTAAATTACATCAGCGCTTCTAGTGGCAATCGAAATCGCGCTGTTTGTGGATTTGAATTTCATGTGCCACCCTCGAATATAATGATCACTAAGAATTTATTGGGTTTTGTTTCTTAACAGTTATTGGTTTATGGATTTTGATAATTCTCTATGAAAGAACTGATTGTGTGGTTTACATCCATTTCTAAAAAATAAATCCTCTGATTTGTGTTTAGCAAAATTAAACATAACCAAATGTTCAATGTATAGTGTAAATTATTTAATGTTAGCAAACAAATTACTATTAGAAGGCCTAACTAAATTTAAGCTAAATTTGAGCTCTAGATAAAAGATACTAGCTGTTACTGAAATATTTCTAGTTTCTCGTTTTTGGATAATCTTACACAGAAAAAATGCAGTATTATGGTAACGCGGTTGGAGGCAGAAAAATTAATGTTAGGTATAAATATAGTTTGTAGTTGTAAGTTATCTTTCCGATGACACATGTGAAGGATACGAAGGCATAATAATTTATCAGTGCCAGCTATTA